TTTTTTTTTTAAAGAGACAGAGTCTTACTTTATTGCTCTCGGTAGAGTGCCGTAGCATCACAGCTCACAGCAACCTCCAACTCCTGGCTGCAGGGGACTCTCTTGCCTCAGCCTCCCGAGTAGCTGGGATTACAGGTGCCCACCACAATGCCCAGCTATTTTTGTTGTTGTTGTAGTTGCAGTTTGGTCAGGGCCAGGTTTGAACCTCTCACCCTTGCTATATGGGGCCAGGGCCCTACCTACTGAGCCACAGGCACCACCCAGATAATCTTTGGAAATTTAATCCCCCAAGAATGTCTTCCCTTCATTAAAAAAAGAAAAAGCATCCCCTAAACTCTATTGGATCCAGTACCTAAATACGTCAGGGCTTTATGTTTTTCTAAAATCTTCAGACAGGAGGATCATAATAGAGTTTGTGTATACATACTCTATTGCAATGTTCTCCTCTACTCTTAAAATTTTTGCTAATAAAGCCTATAAGCCCCTTGAGAAAAGGGACAATCCCAGAGTCACCTTGACTCTCCAGAGCCTAGCACTGCTGCCTTCAGGAGTCTGCTTCCCAAGACAGAAGCTTTAGACTCAGGATTCCCAGGGCAACAGAATCCATGAGGACTAGAAGACAGCAACACATTTCATGTACCCTAAGATTAGAAGGATAACAGGCTTCATGTAGATTTATCAAACTGATAAACCTTTCAGTTTCAGGGTTTCAGGTAAACTCACTTAATAACCTGCAACTATGCCAGTCAACAAATTATCACATAAAATATCCAAGACTTACCCTTTGTCGAAGAAAGATGTATGCCCTGATCGTGAGAACTTTGTGCCGTTGCCATTCAGAACCCCACAGTTAACATTCCCTGAAATATAGGATTTTCGTGATGCTTGGTCCTTTGCAAAATTCCTGCAAGCTGCTAATTTGGATTCTAAAGCCTACAAAAGGAAGAAGGAATGATTTGGCTGTCAAAACAGTAGCTGCACATAAAAATTTACATGTCAAACCATTTTCTATTTCAAGCCTCAAACCTTACTCTCAGTTTATAATGGTGGCTGGTTAAGCCATAATCAACCGCCTTTCTTTCTTTTTTTTTTTTTAAGAGACAGAGTCTCACTTTATCGCCCTCAGAAGAGTGCCACGGCGTCACAGCTCACAGCAACCTCCAACTCCTGGGCTTAGGCAGTTCTCTTGCCTCAGCCTCCCCAGTGGCTGGGACTATAGGCACCCACCACAACGCCTGGCTATTTTTTGTTGCTGTTTGGCTGGGGCCAGATTCAAACCCATCCACCCTCGGTATATGGGGCCAGCACCCTACCTACTGAGCCATAGGCACCGCCCAATCAACCACCTTTCTAATAAAAAGAGAGAATGTTATGCTGACTCTTTTTCTAATGAGTTCAGAATCTTTTATTCATTCTTTAGTATTACTGAGGGATGCAGATATAATCCTCCCCTGACAACTTAGAAAAACGTGGCAGCCAGATCCCAGTCTCTTGACCCTGTCCATCATTTTCAAGTTGTACACTATTTGTAGGCTGGTATGGGGGTGAGGGGATGTCTGTCTGTCTATCTTTGGGGAGCAAGCACTATAAAGAATCCAAGGAAGAAGGAGGGAAGGGAGGAGGAATAAAAACTTCTCTGGCACAATGAACACTATTCAACTGATGGACAAACTAAAAGGCCCAACTTAAGCAATATAAAAGGTATCCATGTAACAAAAACATTTGTACCCCTTAATATTTTGAAATTAAAATTTTCTTTAATTTATTTAAATCTCAAAATATCACTTGAAATTTTTTAACATAGCCAGTTCTCTAGGTTTTTCAGTTCAGTTTTTTCTACTGCATCAGAATGGATAAGAGCATTTATAACACTTCATATGAAATTTAAAGCTGTTTTATTTCTGATTGCATACTGTAAAATGTTTAACTGATACCCTCTGTAATTAAATAATGTAAATGATACCTGGCCCTTTAGCATTTCCCTCTAAATCAGGGACCCTTGCTTTGCACCTGTCAATACCTGACAAGTGCCAGGCTCTACCAACAAACGGACAACAGGAGTTCCATCTATTTCCACACACACAGATATCACCAACCCCCTCTTTCCCATAAACCCTTTGACCAAATTAAATCCCTCCCCTGCAAAAATATATAATCCATGGCAAAAAAAAAAAAAAATACATTTCATTTCTATTCATAATACTAAAGGACTGGGAATGCATAGATAAATCCACAGGTAACACATACTTCACTTTGAGAATCCATTACGATCTCCTTCCCCTCAGAATTTCAGTAAGAACTATTAAGAAACTACAATGAAAACAGAAACTTCTTTTTCTCTTCCTCCTTTCCTAATACAAAAGTGTAATGAGCTAGTACAACAATGACAGAGACGAGGAAGAGAGAGAACAGACTTGCAGAATAGACTCTAAATGTTATTCAGTAACTTACTAAATATACATACATAGTAGAATTTGAGAGCCATGAATCCCCTATATTCAAGACACTTGTTCACTTATTCAAATACCTGCTGAAGCATCTATCACATAGCAGGAGCAGGTTGTGTTTGACCTATCAGTGAAATATCCCAGCACAAGCAGTGAGTCTTTTCAGGGGAAAAGAGTGGTCTAGAGATTAAGATTTGGAAGATATCCACACCCAGTGGTAGATGAAACTGAAAGGGGGTGGGCAGATAAAGACCCAACAAGATGACAAAGAGAAACAGACAAAAAGGTGAGAGCAGCCAAGAAACAGCATCAGAGAAAGGGCAGAAAGAGGGCATTAAAAAAAAAAAAAAAGTCAGTATTAAGAGTTTCAAGTAAAATTAGGATGGAATGGCATCCATTGGGACTTGACAGCACTGAGATCACTCACTAGTGAACAGTCTTAGTGCATGAGCTTGGAACAGAGCCCAGACTAGAATGTCCAAGACTGCATATGCAGGCACATGCTAACAATAAATGGAGACAGGTTTTCAAAATAGTTGTGAAGAGAAGAAAGAAGCCGAATATAGCTACAGAGAGGTATAAGGTAAAAGAATAGCTACTTTTATTGTGCTTTTCAAGATTAAAAAAATTATGTAATAATATGTATATAATATAATGTATAATACATGAACATTTATATACAGTAAAAGCCTGAAGATACAGGAGAAATAAAGATGAAAAGGAATGCATGTAATCCAAAGCACAGATGAATAAAATCAGCCACAGGCAGAAATATGGCACTTTTACCACTGAGACAAAAAGAAAGAATGGCTACAAACAAGAGTTAATAATAGTGAACATAACAATAATCGATGAGAAAAGAAGTCAAAGAAGTTTAAAGTAGATGGCCTTGATTTTCTCTGTGAAGAGGATATAAGAGTGGGGAAAGGGCTTCCAATTCAAGTCAGTGGACAAAATAGTGTAAAGAAGTATAAAATGGGCTTTGCACCTGTGGCTCAAGTGGCTAAGGCACCAGCCACATATACCTAAGGTGGTGGGTTCGAATCCAGCCCGGGCC